TATAGGGTTTCCAAGTAGCAGCTGGTGAGTTTGAACTGCTGACCTTATGGTGGCGTGCTTACTGGTATCTTATATAGGGTCACTATGAGTCAAAATCAACATGATGGCAAGGGTTTAGTTTTGTTTAAAATAAAGAGCTTATTCTAAAGGAATTTAGTGCATTATTGATTAATTCAACAAATACATATATGCCAGGTACCAGAGTGGACTTCCCATGAAAATGATGAAGCTTACATTTCAGAACCCCTGACTTGCAAGGGCTGTGCTAACAGACTTGGAAGGAGCCCCCTCAGTTTTGTACTTGTAATTTTGTATTATTTCCTTAAACAAGTTTCCTAGATTGCATGCATTCAGGCCTTCCAAAGTCTAACCTGACCTTAGCCAGACTAATTCCTGAGAGAGACAGTAGTGAACGAAACAAACCTGAATCCTGTGCCCTGTGTGACAGTCATATCAATGAACAAGAGAAGCATGAGACAAGTATATACAAGAATAAACTTATAGCGCAAAGGTGTGATAAATGCCAGGGGAAAAAACAAAGAGTGGGCTTTCAGAGAGGATGGGGGTAGAACCTAAATTTGGTGGAGGTCTCAGGGGAAATTTCTCTGAAGGGAAGTGGGTGTTGTCCAGAAGAGTAGGAGCAATGCAGACAGAAGGAACAACATCTGGGAAGACCAAGATGAGTTGGGAAAGCTGGACATCTCCAAGGAGTAGGAAGGTCACTGTGGCAGACCATGGGGAGGAAGGATGGGGAGAGTGGAGGAAAATGAAGTGTAGGGGTGGCAGAAGTGAATAGGTACTGGGGGGGAGGGGGTTGATTATAAAAGAAATGAGAAGCCACTGAAAGGTTTTAAGCAGAGAAGAGATGGGATTCGATTTAGATTTCATAAAGCTTGCTCTGACTGTTGTATGGCCACGCACATGAAAAAAACTAAAGGACCTTTTGTCAGATGCCCTAGATAATCAGGCAAAGCTCAACAGTACAGCAAAGACTGAGGTGCCCAAACGAAAGTTGAGAGTAGGTCTACCATCCTCCACTGCCATTGAGTATATTCTGACTCTTCACAGTCTTAGAGCCCAGAGTAAAACGGCTCCATCAGGTTTCCGAGACTGTAAATCTTTATGGGAGCAAAGAGCCTCATCTTTGTCCCATGGAGTGATTATTGAGTTTGAACCACCGATCTTGTAGTTTGCAGTTCAATGTCTAACCCACTGCATCACCAGGGTTCTGTAAGTTGAGGGAAGAGGGCCAGAAAAAGGCAAGGAAAAAGTGGATTTTTTTTTTTTTTCTGGAATCTCTGGACCTGTTTTGAGTTTACTATGGAAGTGATGGGAGTGGATGGGGTAAGGGGTTCTTTATCTATTTTTTTTTTTTTATTTAGAAAAACCAAAGGAAGAACACAGATGGTCAGTACCAGGGAGAGTCCATTTGATTAAAAGCCTGCAATATAAGGCAAATTTATGGCCTTACTACCCAGACACTTGAATCCCCCCCTCAAGATTGTAACCCCTCCACACCCACGGGTCACTGCAGAGAGAAGAATACAGCAGTCTGCTTCAGTCCTTACATTCACCATAACCTCACATTAGATACTCAACCTAAGCCAGCCAGTTGGTCCAGGCAACTGGAGCCCCAAATGTCTGTACCTTTATTTATATTATGAAAAATATAATTCTTAAGGGATACCTGACATCTAGGCATATGAATTGGAAATCTCTACTGGTTTATTATGTTTACTTAGGATTGAAGGAGTTTTTATTTGCAATAGAATCACATAGAAGTTTTCTGTCATAAGTCACAATGTTTTCTACCCTTCAAAGCCTAGGGGAATTGTCTTTACTGGCAAATGAAATGGCTGTAACCAAATTTTTCTACTTGATAATCTGGTCTATGTTATAATATTTAAATTTTCCATTGCTGATGCACTGAATACTTTGTTATGTTTCTAGGGTCTTACTTGCTGGCCAACACCAAGTTTACATCTCAGCCTGGCTACATCGGAAGGCTCTACGGCCCCTCCCTGCCAGGAAACTTGCAGTATTGTCTGAGTTTCTATTATGCCATCTATGGGTTTTTAAAAATGAGTGACACCCTGGCAGTTTATATCTTTGAAGAGAACCATGTGGTTCAGGAGAAGATCTGGTCTGTGTTGGAGTCCCCAAGGGGTATTTGGATGCAAGCTGAAATCACCTTTAAGAAGCCCATGCCTACCAAGGTACAGTAGAGATGCATCATCGTTCAGTCACCTTCAGTTGCTGCTGTCGTTGTTATTAAGTGCCGTCAAGTCAGTTCCAACTCATAGCAACCCTATGTGGAGTTTACAAGGAGCAGCTGATGGGTTTGAACTACAGAGCTTGTGGTTCGCAGTCTTGTGCTAATCTGTTGATCCTACAGCGCCACCCACAGTGCTGGTCTGGGTTAAAAGAACTGTGAATCTCTGCTTAATTACATTCAACTGGTTGGTATAGTTACTTTCTTTTGTCCGGGTCCAGTCCCTCTCCACACCCTATCACCAGCTGTATGCAAGTTCATTGTTTCCTTTTTTTTTGTATTTGGTTTTGTTTTCTGTTTTCTGAATCATGGCCACCTAGGGAGTTTTGATAGTTGTTTAATTCTTTGATTTCCTGAGAATGGTCTAAAGACTGGAAATATATAAATAGTCCAAATTGAACAGCTACCTTCAGGTTGAGGCCACGACACACACACACACACACACACAATTAATGGAATGCTGTTGTTGTTGTTACTGGTTTGTGTATGAATTTGAATAGTAGTCATATGAACTAGTTTTCCTAATTGTATAGATATTTTCCTATCACTGACAGCCAAACTTCATCTCTCATACTTCAGACATATTGTCAGGAGGGACCAGTTGCTGCAGAAGGATATCATGTTTGGTAAGGTGGAGGGTCAGAGAAAAAGAAGAAGACCCCCAACGAGATGGATTGGCCAAGTGGCAGCATAAGTGGACTCAAGTGTGGCAACAATTGTGAGGTTGGCCCAGGACTGGGCAGTGTTTCGTTATGTTGTGCATAGGGTCACTATGAGTCGGTACTGACTCAATGGCACCTAACAACAACAACTGATGAGTTTGAACAACCAACCTGGTGATTCAAACTGACCTTGTAGTCCTGTACTTATCCTACAGTACCACACCAGAAAGCAAGTGATCAAGAGTTACCTTGAGACTTTCATACTCTAGAAGAGGATAATGAGGCAAGGGCACAATTCACTCCATAGGTTTTCCCTAAAAGCCAAATGTCAGGAGAGATTAGAAGCGATTGTCAAGAATTCTATCATGCTGAAGCACAAACATTAGGCTTTATGCATTAAAGTCCTTAGTTTAAGGTTATGTATAGTAACCGTAACACGGTCTCAAAATCCACTGCCATCAAGTCGATTCCTACTCATAGCGACCCTATATAGTATTTCTGAGATTGTAAATCTTTATAGGAGTGGTTGTTGTTGTTGTTAAGTGCCATCAAGTCAGTTCTGACCCATAGCAACCATGTATAGGATTTTTAAGGAACAGCTAGTGAGCTTGAGCCACTTACCTTGAGGTTCAAACAGACCTTGCAATCCAGTGCATTAACCCACAGACCCACACCAGAACTCTTTAAAGGAGTAGACAGCCTTATCTTTCTCCCATGGAGCTGCCGGTGGGTTTGAACCATTGACCTGTGGGTAGCAGTCCAGTGCTTAACCTACAGCACCACCAGGGCTTCTGGCACAAACATTAGGTCCTGAAATATCTCCTGGTCTGAAGCTAGTTTTTTGGAAAACTCATTAAGCATTTCTTTCAGAAAAAACAAAAAATGTGAAACCATTCATAAGTCTGAGAATGGCTAGGTATTCTGTGTCATCTAGATCTGGCTTAAGGATCAGCTCAGCAATCATTAAAATTTTCATGATTGTTGTTGTTGTTAGGTGCCATCAAGTCAGTGCCAACTCATAGCTACCTTATGCACAGCAGAGGAAAACACTGCCCGATCCTGGGCCCACCTCACTATTGTTGCCACACTTGAGGCCATTGATGCTGCCACTTTGCCAATCCATCTTGCTGGGCGTCTTCCTCTTTTTCTCTCACCCTCCACCTTACCAAACATGATATCCTTCTCTAGTGAATGGTCCCTCCTGACAATATATCCAAAGTATGAGAGACGAAATTCGCCCATCCTGGACTCCAAGGAGCACTCTGGCTGCATTTCTTCCAACACACATCTGTTGGTTCTTCTGTAAACCCTCCTAAATTTACGTCTTTACTCTGTGAGAGAATTTTTGTTGTTGTTAAGTGACGCCAAGTCAGTTCTGGTCCATAGCGACCCTGTATAGGGTTTCCGAAGACTAGCTGGTGAGGTTGAACTGCCAAACCACATAAACTTCAAAGTTAATTATAATGTGAAGTTTGTTGAAATGTCACTTCCTTGGCTATATAAATAATTACCGCATTAAAAAAAAAAAAAAAAGGTTGTCATTTGCAGATTTGGGAGAAAATGCCCCAAAACACAAATAACTTTTTTTAAAAAAATGTATGGGACCCTTCATGCCAGCCCTTCCCAGAGTATGTTCCATGGACACAAATATCTGTAGCTGTTCCATTGAAAAAGAATTCTGTTGTCAAATCTATTTGAGATATTTTGCATACAATATCATATTCCCCCTACACAATGCAATGAAGACTCATAATGCACAGTTGTTGTAGTTATTGTTAAGTGCCGTGGAGTCGGTTCTGACTCATAGCGACCCTGTATAGGGTTTCCAAGGAGTGGCTGGTGAGCTTGAACCGCCGACCCTGTGGTCCAAACTGACTTTGCAGTCCAGAGCATTAACCCACAGCACCAGGACTCCATAATGCACAGCCTATTGGAAACTGATCAATCCTGCATTAAATACTCCTGTTTAACTTGGTTTAAGGTGCTAATTTCCCAAAGCACTTGACCTCCAGTGCTTTTTTTCGGTCATTCCTGTTAGCATCAACCTGCTTTGGTAGCACTTAATACAGTATATTGATACTGCTAGCTTTCCCACCTGTATCTTTTCATTGGACTTCCCTAGATTCTGGGTGCTAGAGATTTGTGTCTTACTTACTTTACCTTTTGATCTCCAATGACAACAAAATTTCTGGAACAGCGCTCAGAAAGAAAACGGAATTGTCCAAAACTATGTGGCACTGGGAGTCCTGGTGTGGCGCTGTGGGTTAATGCGCCAGACTGCAAAGCCATTTGAACTGCAAGGTCAGCAGTTCAAGCTCACCACCTGCTCCTCAGAAACCCTATACAGGGTTCCTATGGGTCGGAACCGACTCGATGGCACTTCACAACAACATGTGGCACTGAGCTGCAAGGTTGGCAGTTGAAATGTACCAGCCACTCTTTGGAAACCCTACAATGGGTCTCTTGAGTCAGAACCAACTCGACGGCACCAAACAACAACAAAAGTCAAGGAGGAGCCCTGTTGTAGCACCATAGGATAAGCACTCACCTTCAAGTTCAGTTTGAACCACAAAGTCAGCAGTTCAGATTCACTAGCCGTTCCTAGGAAATCCTATACAGGGTTGCTAATGAGTCGAAACTGACTCCACAGCACTTAACAACAACAATGCCAAGGAAAAAGAGATAATAAATGTGACTGCCTTTGGATCCCATAAATCATAATCCCACATAGCCTAGCACCTGAGTAATTCATTCTGCAAAAATATCCTGCCAGAGTACACAGGGACACACATATGCCAAGTTTAGTTTGGCGTTTCTTATTCTTAGATTTACCAAACTAAGAGCTGTGAGTCTTCCCTCTGAAACAGCTTTTTCCATGCTTGTTAGCTATCCCTGAGCCAGTGCTGGATTCATGGTGACCTCTCGCACAATGGAGCCAACTTTGTCTGGTCCTGCACCATGCCCACGGTTGGTTGCAGATCAGACCGTTGTAATCCATAGGGTTTTCATTGACCAATTGTAGTCCATTATAGTGTGGGAGCCCCTCTGAAACCTCTTCAGCATCATAGCAAAATGTAAGCCACCACTGGTAACTGTGCATGAATTGCATTGGTTAGGAATCGAACTTGGGTCTTCTACATGGAAGGTGAGGATTCTCTCCTCACCTTGTTGTTGTGAGGGTGACTCATATCGATCCAGTATAAGGTTTCCGAGAAGCAGCTGGTGAATTTGAACCACCAAACCTGTGGCTAACAGTCCAATGCTTTCTCTACAGACCCACATCAGGATCTCTTATCCTTATATCACACTATTTCCCCATTCCCAAGGACCAGCCCTCCCAATTCTCCTGGCTCCTTTGCTGCCTCCCAGTACAGCTCCTCCAGCCTCCACTCTGACCTGTGCTTAGTGATGCTCTTACTTCCACCTCCTACCTTCCCCATTCCCGCCTAGGTCTTCTGGCTTTCCCACATTGTTCCTCTGGACCCTCTGTAGTTGTTTCATCTTCTTTTCACCCGGCTTCTCAGCAAAGCTGGAGAAAATAAGACTGATCTCCACTGGCCCTTTGTGCTGCCAGGAAAGCTTTTTACTCCTCTTCTCTCTGATGACTTCCTTTTCTATTCCCACCCCAGATGTTCAAATCCATTTCCACTGGCAGGTTTCCAATTTGACCATCCTTGCCTCATTCTTAGGAGGTGACCTCATGGGCTCCTCTCCCAAAAGGATGAAGGAATTCAACACGAGAGTCTTCTCGTCTGATCCTCTCTGAATTTCCACCTGCCTCTCTTCATCCCCTTCAGAGTCTGGTGGAGGAAATATTATCCTTGCTCTTCTTCAAAATTAATCCCTCTGTCTTTACATTTGGAGTCCTGGTGTGGCTCTGTGGGTTAATGCGCTGGACTGCAGAGCCTATTTTAACAGCAAAGTGGGCGATTCAGGCTCACCAGCTGCTCCTAGGAAACCCTACACAGGGGTCCTTATGGGTCAGAATCCACTTGACAGCAACAACAAAACAGCACGACAACAATGTTTACATTTGCTCTCACCCCTCCTGTATTCCTGAAGCATTATTACATGAACTATTTCTTCTCTCCTAAATCTTCAGTCCCCATTAATACAGTGATGTCACTAGTGTTGATCCAGTACAGTGGTATCACTTTCCTCCCCACTTGGGTGGAACAGTCCCGCCCCTCCTTGGCCCCGCCCCCACTACTCCCTGCAGTGCCTCCTGTCTCCCACTGGCTAAGGACAGAGACACCCCTTTTTGCTCAATGACTGGAGTCCT